CCCTTAGAGGGAGTCGAACCGCTGATGCTGCTGTTTTACTTTTAACCTCCTATCCTAGACATTTGAAAATAGGCTTTTCGCAATATTCATTACCTTGACACCAAACTCTTTAGCTTTCCCACAAGCAAATAGCGTATACTTCTATCAGGCTTTCTATAGCCATTTAGCAGATATTCTATAAATGAATAGTGGTTAATAGACTATTCTTAAAAAGTGTAAATATCTCTACATTTATTTTAAACCATGTGACTTGCTTTTTTAAGGACAACCGGGTCCCAGAGGTCAAAAAGGCGATCCTGGCCAGCGTGGTGGAATGGGTGAACCCGGACCGAATAGAATTGTTGACATCACCGAGGGAATGTTTCCATTGCGGGTCCGACGAGCTGCTGTCTTCCGCGATTCTAAAATGGATCCAGGTAGAATAGTCTTTACTAGTTTGTTTGACTGGCCTAATTAGCCGCATATATTTGCTAATAAATTTCCTGAGAGCCAATTATTCATTGATTGTTTGTATCTTTTAGATGCAGTTCTTATTCCAAGTAATCTTCCTTCAATCGGGTCTATATTGCGCAGGCTCTACGTTCGCATAGAACGTCTTGAAACAGATCTAAAGAACCACCAAAAACCTGCAGGCTCTCGTACTAGCCCTGCCCGGCATTGTCGTGACATTCTTCGTATGGCCTCTGTCCCTAAACGTCTCGTTTCTGGCCCATACTGGGTGGATCCTAATCTCGGGTCCAGGGCAGATGCCGTTCGTGTTGAATGCCGATTTGAGGCAGAAGGCCGAGTAGCAAAGACTTGTCTTCTTCCTACAGCCCCTCTGAATGAGGTTGGTCGGCACATTTACACTTAGATTTGTTTGATTTCCCTAAATGTATGCAGTCGGTATCCTTTATCTCATTTATATTCACCTCTTACCCAGGTTTAAACATAAGATACCCAAGTTTACAACGTATCCATCCTTATATTTGTGAAATATTTATCTCAATTGTTTTCCCACTGTATGGTTCTCCACATCCATCTTTAGGCCTCAAGCAATCGCATATGAAATTTAAGTGGAAGGCAACCTCACACCAGGTAAATGGAACTAGTCGTTTTTTTACTGTAAGTCATGCTTTGCCCTTGAGAATTAAGCGGATAGACAGACTATTAATGATCATAAGCTTTTACTGTGTTTCAATCGGGCGGGAAATTATTGTAAAGAGCCTGTATTGATTGGTGAAGAATCTATTCTTAATTAACAATATGAAGCTTCTAACGAGTTATTCTCAGAGTCCCCTGAATGGGTGTTTTACTCGACTAGATTTTATTTTTTATTTTTAACTTTTAAAAGTTATTTTTAGTATAAACGTAGAATATTTATTTTGCAATAGTTTATGTAATTTTCTGAGAAAAATCAATGGTCATATACACTTAAGTGAGATTAAAGAGTTGCCCTGCTTCGGATACAGAAGTAGCTCGATATTTGATTGCAAAATGTAGAGTCTAAATTTAAAAAAGTATGGTCTATTTCGCTAAACATATCAAAATACGAATAATAAACGGTGACGGAAATTGCAATTATTGAAATCTGATTAATATAATGGAAAAATGGACAGTGAACTTATTAATTAACCAATTAATATATAATAATCATTCTCTAGCGAATTCCCTATTATTAATTTTTCCTCGAGTTCTAAGCTCATTTCATATGAAGAAAGATTCTGGCCCCTTTTACTTAACCCAATAGCAGATTTCCTAGATCCAAAGACGAAAGGGTTAATCAAATACGACCAAAAGCACTTTGATAGGTTTATTTATGTACAAAATGAGTTGGTTGTATGATCGATATCTACAGTTAGCGTAGGCATATGAGCTCTTTCAAAATCCTCATAAAAACGAAATAGTAGTAAAGGCCTGTTTATGTTTTTCAGCGATTTACTCTCTTAAAATATAACATCTCAACCTTTTCATGAATTAGAAAATAATAAATTGACTTTTTGCCAGCAATCTTATCAAAAGGTAGCCTATCTGCCTCCTACACATGATTTCTGTCCCCAATTAACTCGTGAGGAGAAGGGGAAAATTCAGATGTCAGATATAAAATACTTTTCTAACTCTCATAATTTAAAACACTTAAAATCGTTTTTTCCGAGTAATTTTATATATCCCAATACCCGAAATTCGTAATCCCGTTCATGAACATGAAAATGTAAGCTTAACTCAATAATCAGAATGATATAAATGAAATTTTATTTTGTCCTCATTAACGAGTTCTCTCTGACTGTGCCCCCAGAATAATTTCCTATTGGATGATTAACGAGGCAGGTTAGAACTGTTAGATAATTCTACAGCAAAGGTTGATTATTTGAGCAATTGTTTACTAAACAGTTGTGATATCTTTCGTATATACTCAGGGTTTTCGAGACTACCAGTAAATCAATAATATGAGATGTATTCACCCTATTTTGTTTAAGGGGATGAAGGGCTGGTAGTAGAGTTTTCCCACAATGATATGAGTAGAGCTGACGTTTGCATTGAATTTCATATACCCTTGCCTTGCCAAAAGATGTTTGCATCCAGGGTGGACTTCAGTTTCGGCCATGCCTAAGTCTTATCAACACCTTCAGCAGGAGTCGTAATAGTTTAAATAAATCTCATATAACTGATTTACTTATTAACGAAAAATAAGTAATGTAGACGATTTTTATAGCAAAAAATGCGTTTGCTTCATCGGCAATTCCATCAAAGAATGTGATATGGAAGAAATCCTGCCTTCCTTGAAAATTTCATCTGTCCTGTACCCCAATGGCACTCATGTCAACGTGGCTGAGTGGTTAACGTGTCAAGATCACAAGCTGCACTGTCACCGTCCCATTCTCGCTGGGGGTGCTGATATGACATAGACGAGGTCAAAGCTGCAGTGCACCTTGGATGATGACAACTTTTGGAAAAAGCAGGTCTATGTAAAAGTCAATGAAAACGTCAGCTCTATTCATATCATTGTGGGAAAATACTACTATCAGTCCTTCATCACCTTAAATGAAATAGGGTGGTATCTCTCGTTCTGTACTTCGGTATTCATCTATCCTATTTCTTCGTATCACCCATTCACTATCACAATTTCTTACCTGTTTATTTAAACCTGGTCGATGTGTGCCATTCTGACCAGAATATGTGAGAACTGTTGAAGTAACTTTCATTTCGTTTGAAATAGCGAGTGGAAGGGATTCGTAAGTTGGTTCGACCGGAGGCTGTAGGGAAGTTGCCTTGGAGCTGTCGTTGCAGATTTGTGCGAATAGGTAGAACCAACTTACGAATCCCTTCCACTCGCCTCTTCAAATGAAATGAAAGGTATTTTAACATTAATCTATTAAGGGATTCTTCAAACCCCAGTTTTTATATATAAGTGAGACCTATTCACATTCCCCACTGGTTCCCATGTCCCCTCCCACTGTGCTGGGAGTGCTGATCTAAGATCCGTAAAATCCTTCTCCTATCTGATCGGTTCAGTGATTTCACTCTATCTTGTCAACATATCAATGCTACTTGAGGCGTTATGCTCTACACTCTGCCTCAAGCATATTATAGTATGCAAAAACCAGCCTCACTGAGCAAGCTTCAGCCCGATCAAATCGTGATGTTCTAGTAGTGACAGAATCAACTCTCCTCAAGGACGATGGGGATAAGGTAGTGAATTATCCTCAACACCTCTTTATTCCTTAACGGTAGATCCCTTGAAGAAGGTTTTAAATTTTTCACTAGGTAACAAAGGAAAGATTTTAAAAGATATCCTTGTGGAGGTTATGAAATACCCAAAAGACACTGACCGGTAGATGAAAATGGAATTAATCGCGAGAATTCTAGTACATCAAGAGCTAATAAAAAGAGTTGGATTGATGAAGATACGCAGAATATTACAAATGAATAATCAAATAGTTCTTCAGGCGGATAAAGGTAGAGCGACGGTTGTAATGGACAAGCAACAATACACGGAGACCAGAACACTTATCAAATACTAAGAAAGGATCCAACCATGAACAGCAGCGCGAAACTCAAGATATGCTAAATGAAGTGCATAACAACGGAGAAATCGACAGATGGATAAATAACTCTTTAATTAAAAGGACTTAAGTCTACCGACAACCTACGGACTACCGAAGTTGGACAAGGAGGGAAAACCGCTAGGATTGATATTCGAAAAAGAAGCATAAAACCACACACGCATTAGCAAAATTCATTTACTTGAAGCTCAATAAAGTAAATGACAGCCTTTAGAAAACACTGTGAAGAATTCATATGATTTTTCTCAAAGGATCAAAAACATTGGATCATCTTAAAGCGGGAAGAGGATATTCTGGAGGTAG